GGATGTTCGGTCCCTGGCTCGTATGACTGAAAAGATCTTGTGTTTCTCTCCCTGTTTCCCAGTTGGGGCCATGAACCGCCGTGTCTGATTCATTTCCAAGCTGAATCATTTTGACAGCTGCCAATTCGGTACACATACCATAGGCTGAGCTGGGGAGCTGCCCAGCGGGGCAGGATGCTGCAGCCTGGGCACGGCTCTACCTGGCACAGCAACACCTCTGCAGCCCTATAGCTTGGGCACAACAGGGAGCCAAAACAGGCATTCACTGGGGGCTGGCTGGTCAAAGTAAAGTGCTCCCAAGCACCTTATCCTTTTTATGATAGAATCCCAGACTGGTTTGGGTTGAAGGGACCATAAAGCACATCCAATTCCAACCCCCTGCCACGGACAGGGACACCTTCCACTAGAGCAGGTTGCTCCAAGCCCCTGTGTCCAACCTGGCCTTGAACACTGCCACAGTTTCTCTGGGCACCCTGTGCCAGTGCCTCAGCACCCTCACAGGGAAGAGCTTCCTTATTATCTAATGTAAACCTGTCTACATACTGACCCTACATAAACCTTTGCTTACAAATCAGTGAACACATCTGCGTTCCTTTCAGAGCTGGGTTGAACTTGGAATTGCTCCATCTCAGCATCAGATTATTAGTAACTCTTAATATGATTATTAAAATGATTATTAGTTCATCATCATCCCCATAATTTATTGTATCATTTTATCCCCATCATCATCATTTATTATCTCTATTTCTGTTCATCTTGAAGTTTATTTGGGTGTGGAGAGACAATTATGGGTTCGGGTTTAGTCCAGAATTCAGCTGCAATGTCCACTACATGTAAGTGTTGGTGTTTTTATTACTTTACATTACCGCTATCGTGATGGGAATAGAAGGATTTCATGCTGAAATATGGCACTTCACACAGACTGAGAGGCGAATTGTCTTCAATGACTGCCCAAGCCCGGCGAGAAGGCAGCAATGCCATCCCTTCTGAATTAATTATGAACCACACAGCTCTTGCTATTATCTGTTTACACATTATTGGCCTTGTGATGTGCTGGTGAGAGATTTCCTTTCACTGTCTGGTCCAACCGTACGTTAAGTCCCAATTTCATTAAAAGGGCTGCTCGCTTTCCTGGTTGAAAGGGTCATTGTGTTAGTTATTACAGTGTTGTCTTTGTGCTCGCTCCCCCCAAATTCCAGTAACTGTTTTGTAGGGAAGTTTGAAAGTGAACTTCTGCTGCCTGTGAAAGCTGCTTCATTGACTTTATTGACTCCGGAGCCTCCAGTTCTTTATCCGCAGAGATCTTTAAAAGGACACTCAAAACTTCCAGCCAAAGCTTATAGAACTTGGTACTTATAGTTAAGTATTATAGACCCGATGCTGTTCCCATGGAGACCTAAAGGAATGTTGCCATTGAATTCAGTGGTAGCAAAGCATACGCTTTAGTAAGTGGGGAAAGGAGTAGCCTGGAGAACTCAATTTGTTGTTCCCGGGCCTGTTTGTGTGCTTGCTCTTCTGTATAAGGACATAAACCAGGAGAAATTATAGGTGTTTGCATTGCAGTTCGTCTGCTTTGTCTCGTGTGTCTGTAGGGAAGGGGTGTGCGGTTACAGTGTGATAACCCACGAGGCAAAGGCACGGCTCTCCTTCTTTCACTCCTTGCTGTGTCTTGCCTTGGAAACCGGGATGCAGGGAGAGGGTTTCGGTCTTGGACAGGTCAGTGATGGTACAAGTGGGTACTGGTGGGAGGCAGTGTTAGTGCCTCCCTCCCTCTCAGGGCACTCTTTAATGTGAACTTGTGAAAACACCAACTTCCAGTGAAATCCCAATGGTTTACTACTACACAAAGAGATCATGGAATCCCAGACTGGTTTGGGTTGGAAGGGATGTTAAAGCTTATCAGTTCCAACCCCCTGCTTTGTGTATGCAGATCCTTGGTAATGTCCAGAACAAGAGAAAATCAAGGCCTCCTACTGTACAATCCAGTGCTGGAAGTTGGTTTTGGTGGAAGCTGTGCCATGAAACCCTTGGCTACTGAAGTCAACGAACAGATTTCTGATTGACTTAAATGGAGCGAGGATTTGGCCTATAATGAAGTCCTTTCATTTTGGCTTACTGAGATTTCTCTTGTTCTTTCTCAGTGCCTTATGACACATTCACTCCATCCTTGCCTCAAACAAAGAGAAATTATACTTATCATGGTCTCCCTTTAAGTATTTTCTATTTGAAGGCCTACTGAAAGGACTCCAGAGGCAAATTCTTGGTTTAGAAGTTGCTATTTATGTCTAGACACATCTGAATGTCGTTATGCTTTGAATGTTCTGGATTGCTTGCCGTTTTCTTTGTGAGGATGCATGAGTCGAGAGAGAGGGAGCATTGTATCAAATTAACTTGAAATAAGCTGTAACCAGCTCAGGGTTCTGCTTGTTGCAGCTGGCTCCCCTGATACATAACAAAATAAGCAGCACCACGAGTAACATTCGTATTTATTGGTGTTTTAAAGCAGAGTGGGAGCGAGTTCTCAATGCCTGATTCTGTTGGTATATTACTGTTGGACTCACTGGTCATGGCCTGGAGCCTAAATGCTATGGGCTGTATATGAGCAAAACCAATGTGTTGTCTTTATTCCAAGGAGCTTTCAGCCTGGTGACAGGGAGCAGAGGCACAGAGGGAAAGGGAATAACAAGATGATAGTTACTGCCAAGGAAGCCAGTGGTCTCATTATTGCTGGTTAACTATCAAACATCATAATAAATGAATCGATGAGTTTGGTAATTTGTGCATTTCATTTCAAATAGCACTGCAGTTATGCACACCTGAAGTGAGAAGCCAGATTGTCCTCGGTGTGTGCATTTCAGCTCCAAAGCCAGGTCACACAACGCAGTGGTCATAGACCTCCACCTCTTTTTCTGCAGTTCTGTGTTTCTCATAGGATTCTTCAAGGCATTCTAAAGCACTGCAAGTTAAATCACTGCTTGGTGGTGATCTTGCCTGCAAACCATGTTTGCTTACCAAGGGTCAACACGGAACCTGCCTTTATCTCACAGCAGCTCTATAGTTCTGCTGATGCATGTTCCTCCCTGTGAGGGTGCTGAGGCGCTGGCACAGGGTGCCCAGAGAAGCTGTGGCTGCCCCATCCCTGGCAGTGCTCAAGGCCAGGTTGGACACAGGGGCTTGGAGCAAGCTGCTCTAGTGGAAGGGGTCCCTGCCCGTGGCAGGGGTTGGAGCTGGAGGAGCTTTAAGGTCCCTTCCAACCCAAACCAGTCTGGGGTCACCTCCAAGCCTGCAGAGGTCAGGTGTATGCAGGACAAGAGCGAGGCTCTGTGGGTTTAATCACTTTAAAGAATACAAAATGTCATTAAATCTCTTTCCATCACTTTATCCAACTTAACTGTCTTCCTCCTGCTGGGCTACAGTCACTTTTAAAGGACGGAGGAGGTATTTCAAACCCATGATCAAAAGAACCTTTTCCTCTTCTCACATTCAGAGTGTGGAGCCTATGAAACATTTATCCAGGAAATGAAATATTAGGGCCTGACAGCTACCTCTGGTGTCACTGAGTAAGCAGGTTATCTGGAGATTCCTAGTGCAAACAAGCCAGGGCTTTGATGGATACATGAGTAATACCACTACAGGCGTTGGAAAACTCGATGAGGTTGGTGCTGAAGATACACTCACTGCAGCAAGTATAATACAGCCTGAAAACTAATAGTCTGTTACAAGGAGAAGCATCTTTCTTAAGTGTGTTTCTTAAGCAAAGGATAGCAGAGCATTCTGCTTTAGAGTGTCTTATTGTTGAGCAGGGGGGTTGGATGCCATGGAAAGAGACTGATGTGCGGCAGCTTAGATTGTAGGGAATTGTGCACGGGGATCAGTGGAACGTTGCAGTCTTACACGGTGATAGCTTTGTGTTTGGCATTGGGTTTGTGTGTGACGTCCATCTGGGATTTTGACACTTGGCTTTCACTCGGTGGTGGTGTAAAATGACACAGACCCTGTCTGGGAAGTGAGCTCTGAGACCTTAAACTCTAGTGACATTGCTTCAACTGTCAGGTTCTTCAGCAGTGGATCACTTGTGGTGGTGGGAACCTCAGTAACAAAACGGCTTCACGCTGCCATGGGATGCAGGGGGAATCTCCCTGCACGGGGAAGCTGATAGGGGAGATCTGAGTCACGGTGACGGCCTCAGCCAAGAGGCAGGCGGTGAAGTGGAGCATGCGAGGAGCTCAGAGGAGGTGAATTGATGATCTGCTATTTATAGATGCACCAAGAAGCTCAGAGACAGGATCGCCAGGCAGGGCCACTCTTCGGCTTGCTCTGGAAATGATTCCCTGTCAGAGCTGCAAGCGAAACACAGTGTGGAGCTGGCACAGTCTGAGGGTGCCCTGGTTGTGTGAACACGTGGACGTGCCACAGGAGCAGCTTTTGGTGTGAGAGCCCGAAATACAGCTGGTTTAGCAATACAGACACTGCTGCATTTTATCTGTCTCTTCCTTGGTGAGTGTGTTTTGGTTTTATAGGGAAAGAATGGACCGATGCTGTGTGTCCTCCACAGCAAGAGCAGTCTCCTCTTGTTATTGTAGGGTATAATTCAGGAGCTACTTTGGTATGGTTATTTCCTGGATGATTCTCTCTCTTGTCATTCAAATCTGGAAACTGGAGTTATAGAACTTAAATACCATAACCTTGCCTTCATAAGAGATGATGATCACAAAGTCCAGTTGCATCTAACTCAGCACCATCAGCTTGAATTAAAAGCGGTCATAGAATCCCAGATGGATTTGGGTTGGAAGGGAGCTTAAAGCTCCTCCAGCTCCAACCCCTGCCACGGGCAGGGACCCCTTCCACTAGAGCAGCTTGCTCCAAGCCCCTGTGTCCAACCTGGCCTTGAGCACTGCCAGGGATGGGGCAGCCACAGCTTCTCTGGGCACCCTGTGCCAGCGCCTCAGCACCCTCACAGGGAAGAGCTTCTGCCTAAGAGCTCAGCTCAGTCTCCCCTGGGGTAGGTTAAAGCCATTCCCCTTGTTCTGGCCCTACAGCCCTTGTCCGAAGCCCCTCTCCAGGTTTCTTGTTGTCTCAATGAGGTATTTTCTGCCTTTCTACTGCAAGAAACCCCACATTTCTCTCCCTAAGTGACTGGCTCTCGCTCTGCTGCTGCTCTGGCTTACCCCATGTGTCCATCAAAGTCAAGGATCAATGTCATGCTTGTTTCAGAGATGCTGAATTGAGTGCTTAGGGCCCGGCTCTGTGAGTGTGCCCGCTCTCAAATCCCAGTGAGCTCAATGAGCGCGGAAGGAGCTCATCACCTCTGTGGATCAGGCAGATACCGAAGGCAGTGAAGCCTCGCTGAAGCCCATGTTGTGCTTAAAAAGGTCAGTGCCATATTGACAAAAGCCTGTGAAGGGTTGAATTATGCCCTGATTGAGATGATACTGGAAGCAAGGCATGTGATTGTGCTGATGTTGACATTATTGCCTGGGAAAGTAACATTCAGGCATGTATTTGCGATGGTTTCACACCACACAGAGCTGTCAGCCTGATTTGTATTCAACTGCTGCATATTGAGGCTGGTCATCGCTCTTGTAAATGGGAGATAGGAGGGATTGCTGTAACAGAGAAAGATTTCCTCTGGTTTAGGATAGATTTTAACTGTAGCCCTCTGACTCCTGATAACTGATAACTGGCATTCGCTGCCCTCCGCTCCGGGTGATTTATCCCATGATGCGCAGGGAGGAAGGAGACGGGCTCCGGCTCCATTCTTGTTACCAGGAATTGTGCACCTAATTCTCTGTGCATTGTACTGAAAACGAACCGGTGAGATGTGTTCTGCATCAGCAAAAAGGCTCCCTCATTCAGCTGGATGGAAAACGTGCCCGCTAGAACTTGGGAGGAAAGGAAATCGCTGGGAACGGTTTCTTTAAGCAGAGCCTGTTGGGTTTTTTCCTTCCATTTTTCGCTGAGAGGGAAGATTCTGCAGAGGGGTTTTATTCCCCTCCTCCTTTTTCCTCCCCAGTTGCAAGCCTTCCAGTCGCATGCGTTTCTGCTGCTTCCAGCACTTTTCATTCTCATGGCAGTTTTTCATCTCTTCACTCGTTCACGGCTAAAAGAGTCCCTGCAACAGGAACCCCAGTTAATTGCTCCCCAGAATAACTGCACCCATTTGTTCCCACTCTGGTCCTGGAAAGGGCTTCCTCGTGTCCCCCCCTTTGATGGATCCATCCTCTGCTTCATGCAAATACCTTCTCTGTGGGTGCCAAAGCCGGGTGATGGCACCGTTCTGAGATGTATCCTCAAGTCATTCGTAGCTAAAACATTGCCTAAATGGGAATTCCTCTTAGGACTGGAATTTTCCTGGCTGGCTACTGAATTAATACAAATGCACCTGCATATGCATAGTTATGTTAATGCACATAATTCTGTCTGAAACCCCACAGAAGTATTGTTAACCACAGCACAGAGGCTCAAAACAAGCACAGGGAATGGAGCATCTTCATCTCATGCTGTTCATCCCGAAGTTGTTATAATAACCAGGAAAACCCATTCCAGTTGGGATCTCCTCATCCACCATTGGGATAGCCACTGCCTACATCCTGGGTGTTTTTTCTGTAGCAAAAGATATAATACAGAATCCCAACTTGGTGTTTTATACCGAAGCAAAGTCATTTATATGCTGTGTGATGTTATAAAAGCCTCCTGCTTTTTATGATACCTCGAGTTGTTAAATGTAGACCTCCTCTTCTTCATAGGATCACAGCCTGGTTTGGATTGAAGGGACCATGAAGCTCATCCAGTTCCAACCCTCTGCCAACTGTACCACGCATTGTGTGCCAGGGAGAGGAGCACAAGAGGTGCTGTGGGGAGAGCAGAGCATTACACAGAGCTCCCCATGTCCTCACCAGCACATCTACAGGAGGAAGCTGCCTCGCTACAACTGATCTCTACATTTAAATCAATACAAGTAATATCATTTTTGCCTGCTTTGGTTGGGAACACATTTGACTAGCCCATAATAAGCTACTTTATATGGAAATCAGTGTCCGTGCAGTCCCTTGCTCCTGCTGAACTGTATTGGTTTATGGATTCATGTTCAGTTCTGCAGCAATACAAGTGTTTTCTGCAGCAAAGCCCTTGGAGAGTCATCAGCCTCCTATGGCATCAAGGCGTGGAAATCTAAAGTGAAGGTTTAGGACATCTCAGCTGTATCAAAGTTATGAATTCTGCCTGCATTCATGATGCTGTTGTGTTATTTAATGCTTCGATGCCTAAAGGTTTGTTTCAAAGTTCGTGTTGCCTGCTTCAGGCCTGAGCTTAAAGAGTTGTGAAAGGAGCAACCCAGTGTCATGTATTTTAATAACCTGCCGGAGGGAGGCGAGGAGGATGCTGACCTGGGTGAAAGGCAGTGGGAATCATAGAATCATAGAATCGTTATGGTTGGAAAGGACCTTAAGAACATCCAGTTCCAACCCCCCTGCCGTGGGCAGGGACACCTCACACTAAACCATCTCACCCAAGGCCTCGTCCAACCTGGCCTTGAACACTGCCAGGGATGGAGCATTCACAACCTCCCTGGGCAACCCATTCCAGTGCCTCAGCACCCTCACAGGAAAGAATTTCCTCCTTAGATCCAATCTAAACTTCCCCTGTTTCAGTTTTAACCCGTTACCCCTTGTCCTGTCACTCCAGTCCCTAATGAAGAGTCCCTCTCCAGCATCCCTATAGGTCCCCTTCAGATACTGGAAGGCTGCTATGAGGTCTCCACGCAGCCTTCTCTTCTCCAGGCTGAACAGCCCCAACTTTCTCAGCCTGTCTTCATACAGGAGGTGCTCCAGTCCCTGATCATCCTCGTGGCCTCCTCTGGACTTGTTCCAACAGTTCCATGTCCTTTTTATGTTGAGGACACCAGAACTGCACACAATGCTCCAGGTGAGGTCTCACAAGAGCAGAGCAGAGGGGCAGGATCACCTCCTTGGACCTGCTGGTCACGCTCCTTTTAATGCAGCCCAGGATACACTTGGCTTTCTGGGCTGCAAGCGCACACTGAAGCCGGCTCATGTTCATTTTCTCATCAACCAACACCCCCAAGTCCTTCTCCACAGGGCTGCTCTGAATCTCTTCTCTGCCCAACCTGTAGCTGTGCCTGGGATTGCTCCGACCCAGGTGTAGGACCTTGCTCTGGTCTCTGGAAGGGGCTGAGCAGTGGAGACACCCCAGCAGAGAGGATAAAGGCAAATGTGTATTTCAGTGCAGTGAGGAGGGGATGTACCTGGCGATGGGCACAGACACATTGAGGGCAGGAATCACAAAGCAGCTTGCGACGAGGGAGCCAGGAGGCTTATGACAAAGTTAAAGCAGAAGCCGAGCAATGGTGTGGGTTCTGAAGGGCTTAGAATTGCCTGGAGATGCTTAATGCACCACTTAAATCTGTGCGTACGCTCGGGCTGTGGGTGAGTAAATGCCTTGTGATCCTTTAGCCCTTCCTCCGAGAGCCCTGTGTGCGCAGCGCTGCTTCAGCCTTTATTCCTCAAGGGTTAAACTATAAACTGAAGTACCCTCAAGTGGGGAGCTCAAGTGAGGGTGGCTTTAAGTACCCATCAGCCTTATAGCAGCTGGAATGCAGAGGCTCATTCCTGAGCAGTAATATCAGACCCCGCACACAGAAACCATGGTTGGTGTCTGCAGAGCCTCGTTCACAGCAGCTCCTTGGTTTTATGTAGGTTGTAAGCCCTCCAGTATCGATTGGGTATTAACCTGCATGAAAGGAAAACTGGGCTTTAAATAACTACATAAAAAAGCCATTCAGATTGTGAGCATCTCAGTCCCCATGTACTGTAGAGCTGTGCGAGGAATGAACCAGGATGTGATGTGCAGTTCTTGTGCTTCTTCCCGTGCATGAGCAGACACAAGTAAAACACTGACCCCAGCTCAGAGCTGCTAAATTCAACCAGAATCCCTCTGCCTTGGGTTTTGCACTGGCCAGGCATTGCTGGTGTGAGGTACAGGGACCAGAACCATCAGGCACTGCAGGAATCTCAGGTGGGAGATCTTCCTGGGATGCAGGAGCCAGAACACTGACCTCTCTTTGCATCCATTGGGAGCCAGGGCCATCCCCCAGCCTCGGAGCTTGCCCTGTCTAACACAAACTCCTTACACAAGGAAGGCAGACGGCCGTGGCTCCATGATTCTCGGGCAGCTTTGTGACTAACTCCTTACCTCCATGTGGTGAAGGACGAGCTGCTGCCTTCTCCCTGGGGATTAGTCCCAGACAGGGCTTTTTGTGAGCATTATGGAGACACTTTATCGGCAGCACTGAGTCTCCCTTGAAACAACAAAATGACCTTGAATAAAACCATGGATGGGAGACAAAGCTCTTCCATAGAGCACGTCTGCATCTCCTGCAGCCATGAATTAAACACTGAGCTCACCTTTTCTTCCTTGCTCAGGGGCCAGGGAAGCAAAGCACAGCTGTGATTGCGCTTTATGCCAGGTGCATCACACATCAGCAGGGTACCAATGCAGAGGTACCTGTAAAAGCTGAGGTTTGTGTTATGTCCAGTGGAAGGATGGCTGTGGGACCCTGTTCGTTGGTGCATCCTCACACATTGACCAGTTTGCTTTATTTCTGGCTGCCTCGTGTGTTTTTGTCTTCGGTCTAGTGACTCCATCCTGCAAAGGAAGTATACATAGGGAGGTACCTATATCACTGCAGCCTTTTCATCGTGTTTGCTTTGCCATGTACAGGATATTCAGCCACCGCTGCTGGGATGATTCTACTGTTGCTGTTCATTACTAATTATTAAACATCCAATACAATAAACTACTTTCTTCTTTTCAACCCTAGGGACACATTTTAGAGCATTAGATTGATGTTAGTTTTCAAACCCAGCATAAAGCTAAACTCTGTATGGCCCCTGGGTGTTCGTACTGCGGACTTGGCCAGCCAAGCATGCAAAACCCTGGTGAGATAAACCCAGAGACCACATTTGCAGCGTGTCTTTCACTCTCCAGAGTTTTCTTCTGCTCAAAGAGGCTGCCCAGACTCAACACACAAGGCTTAATAATAGTGAATTACACTGAGCCAGGTCAGGAAGAACGTGGTATGGACAGGCCTCAGGTAAGCACAGCATTTAAAAGTGTTATGTTTATTTTCTCGTGGTGCAAACCATCAGTAATCACATTTCCATAACCCAGAGATGGAGGTGAATGGACGAGGGAAGTGCTGAGTCAACAGCTTGGAGACCTGCAGCTATCCTGCTTTCAGCATGGCAAAGTGAGGAGATGCTTTCCCAAGAGGCCGCTCTTCCAATGAGTAAGAGTGACTCTGAGTCTTTGTTTTATCCTCCTAAGAAGCAACCTCTGCTCTGGTTGTGCCAGGGGATACACTGAAGGAAGGGGATCTGCCTGGAGCAAGTATCTGACAGGGAGAAAAGCAGTGAAACAAACCTGTGTGCTGGGGAGCATCTGGCAGATGTGGTGCTGGATCTATGGCATGGTGCCGGTTCCGGTGTGTCTTCTGGTTTGGAGGCACTGCTCAGCCTCCAGTCAGCCTTCCAGTGCCTAAAGGGGCTACAGGAAACCTGGACAAGGGCCTATAGGGACTGGACAAGGGGAATGGCTTTAACCTGCCAGAGGGGAGATTGGGGTTGGAACTGGATGAGCTTTAAGGTGTCTTCCAACACAAACCATTCTATGACTCTGATGATTCCATGATTCAGGTGGTTGCTGGTGCTGGGGGATGGATGCTATGGAGCTGTATCAGTTCCTTGGGAATACCCAAGCAGCAGGTGCCATCCTGGCTGTTGGGGGGAGGCAGATTTAGCTTTGGAGCCGAAGAAGAGGGAATCATGAGGGGGGAGCCCGCCTTGTGACTTCATTACAATCTTCAAGCCTTTCACAACCCTGTAACCTTTCTGGGGTTTGCCTCAAACCTGAGGTCTCAGCCACATCTCACGTGAGCTTCGAGATTCAATTCATTTTAACAAAGCCCATTATGTGGAATTAGCCATAGACAGGAGATTCTGGAAAGGGTGAAATCAGAATAGTCATGATCAGACTGTCTGTGTTGCTTGGAAACTGAGAGCTGTCCTGGGCTGCTCCTCAATATTTGCCTTTCATTACAGTTATTGTCCCCCTGCTTGTGGAACAGGAGTTTTAAAGGAGGGAAATGAGTCCATTGACAGCGATGAATACAAAGAAAAGTAATTTATTGAGCTTTGTCTTCTTGCAGTTGGGTTTCGGGTCTGCAGGTGATGACTGTGACAAGGTTAGTTCTGAATGCCCCATCCCTGGCAGTGTTCAAGGCCAGGTTGGATGGGGCTTGGAGCAAGCTGCTCCAGTGGAAGGTGTCCCTGCCCGTGGCAGGGGTTGGGGCTGGAGGAGCTTTAAGGTCCCTTCCAACCCAAGCCGTTCTGTGATTCTATGACTCTATGCTCTCAAAGAGCCTGCAGCAGAAGTGCACAAGCTCCCATCTAATCACACGAGTGGCGCTTTCAGCTAATCAGGAGTTCCAATTGTCTCGGCATTCCCGCTCACGAATCAGTTGCATTTAGGAGCTGAGGCAGCTTCATCACCACTGGAGCCTGATTACAGATTGCGGAGGGGCTGCCTGATTAGATTAACCTCGGTGCTTTTTATGGCTGATTCTGGGAAAAGGGGGAAAAATCCGGGGTGGGATCCCGATTTTGAGCATTCAGGAGTCAATCCCACCTGAGATTTGAGCGTTGGACCGAGGCCTCTGTCTGCAGAGTGGGCTGCTCCAAAAGCCTGCAAGGAAAGGCTCTGGGTTATTCCCCTACGGGGAACTTGTGTTTGCTTAGAATCATAGAACCATAGAATAGTTAGGGTTGGAAAGGACCTGAAGATCATCCAGTTCCAACCCCCCTGCCATGGGCAGAGACACCTTACGCTAGATCATATCACCCAAGGCCTCGTCCAACCTGACCTTGAACACTGCCAGGGATGGAGCATTCACAACCTCCCTGGGCAACCCATTCCAGTGCCTCACCACCCTCACAGGAAAGAATTTCCTCCTTAGATCCAATCTAAACTTCCCCTGTTTCAGTTTTGACCCGTTACCCCTTGTTCTATCACTGCAGTCCCTAATGAAGAGTCCCTCCCCAGCATCCCTATAGGCCCCCTTCAGATACTGGAAGGCAATAAGTGACTTGATTCTTAAGGGCGCTGGGCGGGTTGTGTCCTCGGGACTGAGTTCACATTGAACAAAGATAAGATGCTAAAACAGCCAGCGGTTTACTTAAACACAGAAATATGCATCCAAAGGTATTTC